CATTCAATACAGTCTTCCCCTCTAGGCTGGTTAACAAACTCCAAGACCTTGGGATCAGCCCCTCTCTTTGCAACTGGGCTCTAGACATCCTAAACAAAAGACCTCAGTCTGTCAGGTTGGACAACCTCACCTCCTCCACCCTGACCCTGAACACTGGTGTCGCACAGGGCTGTGTTCTTATCCCACTCTTGTACTCCCTCTTCACCCACTACTGCATACCTCTACACAGCTCTAATACCATCGTCAAGTACACAGATGACAGCACAGTAGTTGGTCTGATCAGGGACAACAAGGAGGCAGCCTATAGAGAGGAGGTCAAGCACCTAGTGGCCTGGTGTGCCGATAACAACCTGGCCATCAATACCAAGAAAACCAAAGAACTGACTGTGGATTACAGGAAGACAAAATGCTGTATACATGCCCCAGTTATCATTGATGAGACCAGGGTGGAACATGTGTTCAGCTACAAATTCCTGGGTGTCCACATCTCCAACGGCATTTCCTGGTTCTTCAACACCCCAACCCTGGTCAAAAATGCGCAACAGCGCCTGTACTTTTTTTACGGAAGCTAACATGCTGGTAAACTTTTACCGATGCACGTTCGAGAAAATTCTAACCAACTGTGCCACAGTTTGGTACAACAGTTGCTCTGCGGCCCCCAGAGGTGGGACAAAGTCATTGTTATGCAAGTCACAAGTAAGTCTCAAGTCTTTGCCCTCGAGTCCCGAGTCAAGTCGAGTCAAAGATGAGGCAAGTCCCGAGTCGAGTCACAAGTCAAAGCCAACAAGTCTCAAGTCGAGTCCAAAGTCCTACCATTTTAGTTTCGAGTCATTTCAAGTCATCTTACCACAGAATTTATACAAATCATGTATGTCTGTAAGATTTGTATTTATTTAAACCTCTTTTTATACAATGACATTAATACAGTAAAAAACTGAAAATTTAATTTCACAAAAAATGCTTGTATTTCAACAGCATATTGCACTAGAACAATGCACAGCAACTTCAGTCCTGTATTGTATTGACCTTAGGGCTGGAAGATATGGAAACATTTTATATCACGATATATTTCTTAATTTCGGTCGATACGACATAATTCCGATATCGATATGAACAATATATAAGCCTCAGAAAAAATGCCATGAACACCCACAACGGATGTCTGTATACTATCTTCTGAAAAATACATTTGCCAAGTCTTTTGAGCCTCCTCCTATAAAACTAAATAATATTTTAGAAATAAAACGGTACAAATAAATTAAGGTTCACCTTTTATTTGATTTTAACCTTTATACAAACAAGAAAAGTCAAATAAGCAATTTGACTCTGAGACTGACCTTATTAATATATTTAACTTTAAACAATAACATAGGCTGATTATATTATTCTTTACACAAAACGTCCTGCAAAAAAACTTGTTCTTATAAACATATCATTTAAAGTTAGTGAACATGTTAGACAATGAAGAGGTGAGTTCATGAGTTCGCTACGTGACCGTGGATTTAAGAGACACGACAGAGAAGCTCATGAACGCGCATGTCGCAACATGCTCGGAGAATGAGAGTGCTCAAAAGCGCATGTCCATCATGACGTCATGCGCCAGTCAACGCGGAAGATCCAAGCTCCTATGTTGGCTTTATGCGCTTTTGAGCCTCTCATTCTCCGGCACATTTAGCATCACGCTGAAACCTGAAGTTTATCAGATCTCAGAAAGCTGAACCACTTCCCTACCACTGAATTAGTCTTTCCTCTCATATCAACTGTCTGCTTTCTCCTCACTTATGGAAGCTCGTTCAGTCACGTTTGAATTGCGGTCATGGGCGCTCATTTTGTAGCTTAAACTTGCCGTGTTGGAGATCAGCAAAAATATTGAAATATCGAAAATGTGTTTAGAAATCATATCACCGTTATTGATTTTTTTACCGCGATATATAGTGATATTGAATTATGGTCCAGCCCTAACCTCATATTGCAAAACAGTTTAACTTTCAAATAGACATGGGTCCTTTTAGCCTGAAAATGTTTAAACATGTCATTAATAAAATCCTCACTCCTCAAAATTATCACTTCTGAAAAAATGGACCAACCTGATAATATAATTGGAATGACTCCATAGAGACGTGTGTGTGTGTGTGTGCGTGTGAGCGTGCCCGTGCGAAGCTCCGTCTGTAATCTTCGACCCGCATGTTTTGCAAATTGCAACTCTTTTTTTGTCGACTACCTCGTAGTTTTTATAGCCAAACGAAACTATATTCGGTATCATTTTGCCAACTGGCGCGTTGTTGCTTGTGCTTCATTGGTTGTCTTGCAATGTGCCTGCTTGGATGCTGTCTAATCAAAACAACGTGGGACTACAGATGCAGATAAACTGAGAGCGGCGCGGCCGTGTGAACATTTTCTTCCCCAGTTTTCATGGGAAGTAGCAAGTCTTCTCGAGTCAAAAGGCGCAAGTCCAAGTGAAGTCACGAGTCATTGATGTTCAAGTCCAAGTCGAGTTGCAAGTCTTTGTACATTTTGTCGAGTCGAGTCTGAAGTCATCAAATTCATGACTCGAGTCTGACTCGAGTCCAAGTCACATGACTCGAGTCCACACCTCTGGCGGCCCCTACACAACCAAGTCATTGTAAGATTTCAGTTAGTTTTTCAATTGAATTGTTCCCATTATAGGTCACATTAAAGGTGATAAAGGTTCGGACTCTTATACAAATCAAATTTTTTTACATCACAAAAACCTGGGGGTATGTATACTTTTTATATCCACTGTATGGGGGAAGATTGTTATGTATGGATTTATATAAATAATTCCTTTAAAAATTGAGCTTTTGGAAACAATTTGTAACTAACCATTTGGGGCTGGACATGTAATATAGTTGTTTATATGCTTATAATCTATGTTATATACCTCAGTTAACTGTGAAATTTCAACTCAAAGACATGCATTGTACACCCTACTCAGTGACCCATTTTGACTTAACAGCGCCACTTTTAGCTTTTTTTCCCTAGACATTTGTCCTAGCTGACCTTGAACCAGTAGGCTACAGTGATATTTGACAGTGCTGAGTCAAACTGATCTGAACTGATAATAAATTGGATTGTTCTAACCTATTACCATAGTTCATGGACTTTTTACAGAACTATGTAAACCTAAGAATACAGTGTAGCCTAACATTTGTTTTGGTTGGTAGGTTGTGTTCCATACCATTTACTATAAGTATATAACCGTTTAGTGACCTAGGTTCACAGCACACTACTCTCTTCAAATGATAGATATCTTAAAGGAAAACCTCATTATTGGTATCCAACTAGATGTTCACTATTTTAGTTGATTGATATATGTACATTATAAACATTATATAAGAGGAAGTGGAATGGACCACACCTCTAGGAGCTCAGGTGAAGGTGGAAGGGACCAAACCTCCAGGAGCTCAGGTGAAGGTGGAAGGGACCAAACCTCCAGGAGCTCAGGTGGAGGTGGAAGGGGCAACACCTCCAGGAGCTCAGGTGGAAGGGACCACACCTCCAGGAGCTCAGGTGAAGGTGGAAGGGACCACACCTCCAGGAGCTCAGGTGAAGGTGGAAGGGACCACACCTCCAGGAGCTCAGGTGGAGGTGGAAGGGGCAACACCTCCAGGAGCTCAGGTGGAGGGGGAAGGGACCACAACTCCAGGAGCTCAGGTGGAGGTGGAAGGGACAACACCTCCAGGAGCTCAGGTGGAGGTGGAAGAGGCAATTCCTCCAGGAGCTCAGGCGGAGGTGGAAAGGGCCACTTCTCCAGTAGCTCAGGTGAAGGTGGATGGGACAACTCCTCCAGGAACTCGTGTCGAGGAGGAAGGGAAGGGGCCACTCCTCCAGGAGCTCATGTGGAGGTTCGCTGCAGGCGGGGTCCGGCACTGTCACGTCTTCGGCGGGGTTCGTCACTTGCTTCAGGCTGACAGGGTGTGTTGGATCCACAGATGGAATTTCCCGGCGTCTAAGAGCTGGCGTAGTTGTAGCACAGGGGCCACCTGCTGCTTAGGTCCAACACATTGTGAACCCCCCTAAAATGAAAGTAAATTGCGCAATCGCGACTTATAACTACCATACCAAAACAGCTACTTGTAATCAAACACTCACCCTATACTAAGTAACGTCACATATATATACAATATCCAACACCGTGCACCAAGACCCAGTGACTTTTATAACAAACATAATTACCAAATCTAAACCTGCGGTGACCACTCTAATCACTCACATCTGATTCAGGTGTTTTCAAACTGCAACGCCCTCCTAGTCCTCTAGATGTTCTCGGTAGTAATGCAATATCCGCAACCAGGGCATTGAACCTTGTTATTTATAATTTTTTTCCTTATTTATTGTTCATATTAATTTGTTTTTCTTCCTTAACAGTGTTGGATGCCTTATTGAATCAAAGGTGAATAATGTCTGATATGAATCTTGTTTTTAATAAAATATTTCATGAAATTCACAAATGTTAAGAGTTTATAAAAGCCACTATCTTGTTCATTCACACAACATGTAAGCAGAACGAACACATGTATACTACAAATCCAGACGTGGCTGCATAGTTAAAAAATGTGATTGCCTGCTATAATATATTGCGATGTGGAACATTACAAAAAGGGGATGGGGCAGCTATTTATGTCAAATTCACTAGTATAGCATCATGTTCTTTTTTATTATAATTGGACAGCAAACATATGAGCTCTCTGCTAGGGTGTCTTTAAGACAATATGTCTATGTGTTCAATTCTACAGTCAATTACCCCCCAATGGTTTACAGATGCCTCAGAGCAGTTGATGAATATGTGTCTATAATTGAAGGGGCCTATTTACATTTCTCTATCGAAGAAGATTCAAGGCACTGGATTATTTTATTGCGTAAACTTGCACATATCGATAACCCGAGATAGCATGCACCACATTTTTATTCAAGCCCCTATGGAAATTATAAAGTGTGAACAAAATGTTGTAAATGTTGTGCTTGCAAATGTTGTGGAGCAGTTGGTAGCTCAGTGGTAGAGTGCATGCTTTGTGTGTATGAAGTCCTGGGTTCGAATCGGCCTACCTGGTTAAATAAAGGTTAAATTAAAATAAATAAAAACATACACAGGGAGTGACAGGGTGCAGACGCAGAGGTAGGTGCAAACAAATGTTTCTTTAATACAACAACACATGAATGCACATAAAACAGTGACCAAATATGGGCATGTGGGGCAACAAAAGACCAGGAGAGGGCAGGAAAGGACAAGACGAACCACTATCTGTCTGACAAACATGCTAAGAGTCATGAACCCCATGAATCTGTGGTAATCATATGAACTTGCAGAGCTTTTCTCAGAAACAAGTGTGGGCTAATACTAGACATTATTCCTACCTGGGCTCAATGGTAGCTTAATAGGTAATTAGAAAATAGAGGCACTGCTTAATTAGCTGAAATTGGTAAAAGTGGGTTGTTTTTGATTTCCGCACCATAGACATTTAATAGAGTTGGTAAATAAGCTAATTTTAATGAGTGGATGAACATTTTCTTTGTCTGTCAAAAACTCTGTGGATTAACATACATAACATATATACTGTCAATCAAAGAACCTTAAACTGTATTATTGCTGCATTCCTATTCGCTGTCTGGGAGCTGACCACTCTCTCTGAAAAAGTGCATTACAATTGATTTACACTATGTCTGAATAGGATTACTAAGAAAAATACATCTTGCTACCATATTAGCAAGATGGAATAAAAAACAACACATCAATCTGCAACGTCTATAGTTGTCAGGGAAACAAAACGGAAAATTCTATGGTGGAGAAGAATTGTGTTGTCTGAAAGGGTAATGTCGCTTCTGATGTGCTAATTTTTAATGGTCTGAAAGGTTATCAGTTGCTGTAATGTCTGAAAAAGGTTATTACTGGTTGTAAAACTCCCTTTATATGTAAGGACTGCAACATTCTCTAGTTGTAATTTCATGAAGAGGTATTACAGAAACGTCCTACATACTCAAATATTTATTGATATATTCTAGAATTGTATTATAGAATGATTCATCCTAAATGTTATTAAAACAGGTCAAAACTTGATTAAACTATATGCACATATGTTTTTCACAAACTAGTGATACATGTTTTGTTCCACTTTATGTGTAATAGCAGGGAGTATTCCTTGTCCTTGAAACCTGAGTCACTGTATTTCTTAACAATATGAATTTACAACTTTCATTTTGTAGTGTAAAAGACTTTGGTCTCTGTTTGAACTTGCTAAAATAAATTATACATTTATAATATAATAACATTATATGTATATATATATATATATATATAAACTGACATGGTACGATGTTTATATGCATTCATCAACAGTACAGTGTAAAGCTTGTATAATGACACATACACAAATGAGAGCTCTTTCAATCTCCATGGTAAGTCAGTTCAGAGCATAGAGAGCTTGACAGAGTGTAGGGGTGATTGGGTTTGGGTGGGAGAGAGGTGATACGGGACCATGAATTCAGTAGCTCTGGGCAAATGCCAACAACACAACACAAGGGCTGTCAGAAAACACTACTAGGTTTCAAATCTCTGCTTCCTTCATCCTTGTTGCCATAAATCCTCTTAAAGCTAATTTAAGGAGGATGTCCCAGGAAAATATATTGAGGAAACAAGAACAGAGGAATTAAGGATTTAGGGAACTATCAGTGTTCTTAAAGCATGGCAGGAAGTATTTTCTGTGACACTTGGCACTGACTTATAGAGTCAGACGTTTTTCTCTTCGAACCTCATTTACTGCTCTGCTGGTTGCTGGGATAAACAGGCTTTTACATGGAAATTCTTCCTGATTTTTTTCAAAAGACTGAGTTTGCATGACAATCCCTGTTGCATTGCACTTTGACATTAAAAATAGTTTTTTAAAACACATTGCCCTTGGGCACAGTACACCTCTAAAACCAAAAATATGAATTGAGGAAGCATTTAAATAGGAATTGTCCTCCAGAACAGCGGCCTTCAAACCATTCTTTGTGGCACCCTCATATAAACCAGATAAGCTCCAGTTCCGATACACCCTGGAGTTTTCTGTGAGAACAGCGCCATCTAATGCTTAGTTTAAACTCAACAGTGAATTCCGAAACAGAGCCCACCCAGCTGCCCCTAATTCACTGTACGACCAGCTGCTGTATACACCACAGTGTAACAGCCTTACAGAAACGCTGTGTCATGTACCTTTATCTATCAACCACAGCCCTGAGATAAGGCTCCGCAGAAAGCCTTTTTACACAGGAAAATAAAAAAAAACGAATGATTTGTCTTTGAAATATGCTCAGCAAGGCGCTTCTACACGTTTTCCATAATAACAATTTATCCAAAAACAGTAATATGCCATATCTGTACTGGAGAGGATTAAAAAAAGACAGATACTATGATTACCCATTTTCTTTATTTAGAAAATGTTTGTTAGATAGAACTGTTATAAGCAATCAGCACAAATAATCCTAAATAAACAGTAAATGTATAATACAAAACGGTTTTAGATTTTCTTTCTCAAGTATAATATTTCTATGTCTGTGTATATTTCTATGTCTCTAACCAAAAGGTTGAAACCAACTGCGGGTCTGCTGGTTGAAATCCCTAACCCAATAAGGTGATCTGTTAATCTGGCCTTGTGCAAGTCACTTGCCACATCTGTTTACTGTTGCTGTCAATAGTGCCTAATACCTGGGCGCAGGATATGGTAAAAAAACGTTCCATTTCATAGCCATCCACTTGTATGATATATTGTCTGTGAAACAAAAACAATATAAGCTCTGCATATTTCCTTTTTTAAAGATGTTATTAGCTTGGCTAATAAGACAACTCAAATTCTGTATGTCTACCCCTAAACACCCAGCTGAAGAATAGTGATTTCTGTTTCTGCTTTTTAAAAAAGTTGGTTAGAAACCAGCAGATGCACTAAGTACATTTCATCTTCAACGATCTCCAAACTCCCCACGGAGAAATGATCGATAATATCTATAAGACTGTAAGAGTCTGTGTAAATAGACAAAAAAACTTGCATGGGGAAGAATTTTAAGAAAAAGGGATGTAAATAACTATAACATTGACATTACATTCCTCGATGTGTATTTACAAATAAAAAAGATAAAACACTTTAAAATAAATAGAAGTCTTTCACTAACATACAATATACTGATTAAAATGCAGCTCATTTTTAAGGTTACAACTGGTAGACTTCTGGTACTAGTAAATAATTCATGAATGCAGTGGAGCTTATTACAGAAAGCAAAAAGATACTTAAAAATTAATTTCAATATATTAATTTATGTATTAATAAAAATCATAATATATTGCACATTAACATTTAAACCACATCAATAATCATTAATGTGAGGTTTTAAGATATTTCCTTAATATAAGAAATTAGTATTTAAACCTAAAGAAATTGCATAATTACCATTTCTTAGTTTAAAACTCAATTAGATCATGTCAACATAATCACAACTTTCATTCTTTCCGAATTTATCGGATCTTCCTTGATAATCTGGGGTGTCCTAGGACAGGAAGACATTTCAGGATCTAAGTTTTAATCAGTCAACATACTCGATCATTTTCATTGACATTCCAGTTGTAGACGCTAGAAACTTCTGAAGAATTTCAGTGACAGTTCATAGCCCAGAAACATGGTGGCGCTCATGGGAAACCCACGAATAGCGTTTACTGAGGCTCCACGGAAAAATACCTGTAGTGAGAGACAATGATTAAAGTGAAATGAACATTCATGTAATGTTTAAATTAGCTACTCCAATAACAATCTAGCTGAAACAACTTTAAGTTAAGCATATCCAGTGTATTCATTGCCTTAATGGTTAATGATTAGTTTGGTATTGATCAAAATGTCTCTTCTCAGTCAGTGTTTGTCCAAAACACATAAACGATAACAACGGTCTGGTCACTTGAACTGGGGTGTGACACAGCACTTTTTGCTGTTTAAAATTGGTTATACCACAAATCCAAAATCAACATTGACATTTCATAACAATGTTTCCTTTGGGGGGCAGAGCAGGGGGCGGGGCTCATCAGGGTTTTTTAAGACAATTTGCGTTAATGCATAAGCATAGTTCTAGCAACATTAATGAATGTATACAATCCAAGTACAGGGAAGAACATGGAAGTGGATGGATGTGCATGGAAGTGCATAAAAGTACAACAGCCCGTGGTGTCCATGAGAAAACAAGCACTCTTCGGCCTTCATTTCTCCCGTCACTTTCTCTGGATAAAAAAATCTGCCAAATGATTCAAATATGATTGATTACTTACATGTATTCCCTCAGTTTTGTAGCTTTGGACAATGCAGTGCAGAATGCCTTTGTATTTCCTTGTGTGAAGCGTGTCTGCCTGTAGCCTGCTCTTCACCACGTCAGCTGGGGTAGCTGTGACCCACGAAATAGAGCCTGCAGACAGACGAGGCCGGTAGATAAGATAGTAGAAACAGTCATGAGCAGTTTAAGATGGCAGCAACAATTTGGTAAAGACTGTTCTTACACAGCAATTCCTTTTCATGATGTATTTGATGGCAATGACAACCCTGACATAATGTGATTGCTATGCCAACGTGATGTTCAACTTCAATAACACATTTCTAGATCAGTGCTCATTGAAACATGGAAAACCCCCAGCAATCATAAATAATCTATTAACCAACTCTTGGTAAAGGTGTTAGTTCCTTCAAATTCCCTGAGGTCGTTAAGTATAGAAAACACAGTTACTATTTTACTTCCATAGTGCAGTCTTGTAAAAACTTCATTAGCATTCCCTACAATAACGCAATACAGAAAAACCCTAGCAATCATTAATCATATAAATTAGTTAAAGCTGCCAGTTCCTGCTAGAACAGCTAAACCAGGTACACAATTTTCAGACTTACATCTGGAAGATATAAAACTAAGTCTAAACATGGTTAGGCCCCAATATAGCAAGCTGAAACTAAATATCTCATTTAAATAGAAATTCAAAGATATCTGCTGAAAAAAACAAAACAATGTTAGCTATGATCTTAGCAAGATCTAGAGCGAATTATCATAATTTGGGTTT